TGTTGGTAGGGTTCAAGTGACGTGGCATTTGTTAGTTGGCTGTGACTATGTATCACCAATCTGTCTTCGTTTTAAAAGATTAATTCATTTGAATCAATTTTAACCATCTTAAAAAATGGTTACTTACAAATAAGAATTCATATATTCTGAAACAGTTGAAAATCATGCATGATATCCAAAAATCTAGATCTAAGCTACTTAAGAATACGCGTTTTCAATACTTTTGCCACAATATACAATATTAGAAAATACACAAAACCCAACCTACAATTTATTTTCTCCTATAATATTAAGTCAGTCAGCAGTTATGTGCCATGCCTGATATGAGCTTAGGCGATCATGTATCTTTCGATACATGACTGATGATGCAGATTTTTTACGCAATAGGTTACCATTTCTTTCTGCGGTAGACCAGTTGCCATCCAACTTGGCCTCTCCTATTTATCCATAGCTAGGGGGAGAAGAGGATTCATACCTTTTCCAAGGGTATTACACGTATTACCACGTAAGTGAATGTAATGGATTCGACTGGAATTCGAACTCGGCTTTCCGATTCCCCATTACTCTACCGTACCTTCTTTATTATTAAGATACCTCCAATAATTCGGTATACATAAGATTTAAATGAATTTTCATAAAGAAAAATCTTTCTTGAAGCTTTCATTGAAATCCAGAGGATTTAATCTATTTTCAGCAAGCAAAATATTCTTTAGTGTATTTCAAACAGAAATTCTATTGGCTGGAGTCGATTCACTTTTTCTTGTCGGGGGTAAAAATAGCTGATTAGCGCCCTTTTTTAGCTATCTGTCGTCGTAATGATTTTTTTCTTTATTAAAAACAACTTCCGAAAATAAAATATTTTTCTGAATCTTTATTTGAAGGATATTAGCTGATTTAAAGTATAATAATCTGATTTGAAACATATTTACTTTCAGCTGAAAATAACAGAGAAATGGATTAAACTCGATTATGTGCTTTTCAACACCTCGTAAACAACTTCACGAGTGAATTACGAGCTGTTGACACTTTTATTGATACTCATTCTAATTCTTCTTTAACAAAACGCCAACCATTCTAAGAGTTCCACTGATCCAGATTCACAATAAGGACATCGCAGTCTGGAATACAGCGATAAGATGAGAAACAGGGCGGTAATTGGTGTATTCGTTGCGAAAAGTGGTCAAACCAAAATTCAGTACAAAGAATGTTCATTTCTTGTTTAATGGCGCCGTTTTAAATTCAAAGTTTTCCTTCTAGACCGGATGCCACCCGAAGCAAGAGAGCTAAATAACCCTGGTTATTTAACCAATAACTGATCGAACTTATAGCCATGATATTTTCCAAAGATATTATGCCAAGTGAAAAAAACTGACACTGTCAGATTTTAAGCCAAGCAGCTGATTACACTTTCTGAGTTAATAACGGTTACACTAGCTGTATATCCAATTTGTTGAACTGATCCAATAAAAGATCCCTTGAAATATCCAGAAAAACCTAACCTGGAATTCGAACATTGTTCCCTTTAATTTCCAGTGTGGTTAGCTGACTAATTATGCACTTCCTGCTGATGCATATGATGTAGCGGAAATTTGTGCGACGCGTTTGACGTCGAATGGCTCATATGAATTATTTACCCGCGTCTTCAATTACTAACTTCCGTAGCCTATTAGTAACGTGCGCCTTTGTCGTGAGCTGAATTCATTCCTTTTTATAAGCATAAGATGAAGACAAATAGCCTAAGTCTGGATCCGATATCCTTTTGTCAATCTTGTTTATCGTTCTTATAACTTCTACTTCAGATGAGACACTTACAAATAGGCAGAATTTTATATGCAAATGAATACATAGATATTTCGAACATACTCATTCTGTTCACTTTTGTGTTGGCGTGTTTCCTTGCAATATTTTAAAGTATCATTTAATCTCTTATTGACGTGTGCTGAGAAAGTCATTGCACTGCAAGGTCCTCACTGATATTTTCAGTTGGTAACAAAACATTTGAATAAGTCATTAATGGTACACTGAACAAATATACGTATTGTTTATGACGATAAACTAAATCCGGCAGCAAGACCTCTGACCGGGAGGTATTGTGGGATTTGGAACCACTTCTTTATTAGTATTGTTCAAAGTCCACCCTGATCCGGGGTGGTAACACCTGTTAGGGTCCCAGGTATGTTCAAATAGTCAAGCCCCAAACTTGGGTTAAAACATTTTGAAAATATAAAAATGCATTTTTATAGTAAAAACACTAGCAGTATATTTTCATAGAAAAAAATTAACAGCAATACATTTGTGAAAAACAAATTACCAACATCCCGAATAAAATTAAATTTCGGCATTAAATAACCCACAGGGGTGTGATAGATCATTAAACAAACCAAACGGGACAATGTAAATTAATTCAGTGTTTCTTTTCCTAATAGTTGCTTGTAAATCTCACCCTACCTTTCTATGCAATACTTATTATTTGCATCACTTTCTCAATCAACGCCTTGGTTAAGATCTTGTCCAATTTCATAACCCTTGTCCTTCAACGTTTCGCTCGCATAAATTACGACGGGCTTAGAATTCCATGCACATTTTTTTTTTCTTTTCCTTTTCATCTCACCCTAAGTCTTTCCACACGCTTTTCTCTCTCAATTTCTAGACACCATAACACAAACACTCATAGGCAGGCGGGATTTAATGCATGAAATCTAATGTATTTCTCTACAGAAGCATTTTAAGGAAACTATTTCCAGTATCACTTCACTTTTCTCTTTGTTGTCTCCCTCTACGTCCCCTCCACGTCGTCGGTTTCTGTGTCTCTGCCACCCCCAGGTCGTCGGTTTCTGTGTCTCTGCCACCCCCAGGTCGTCGGTTTCTGTGTCTCTGCCACCCCCAGGTCGTCGGTTTGTGTCTTTGCCACCCCAGGTCGTCGGTTTCTGTGCCCCAGGTCGTCGTCATCGTCTTTGCGTCTTTGCCACCCTGCCCCCGGATCGTCATCGTCTGCGTCTTTGCCACCCTGCCCCCCGGTCGTCCCGTCTGCGTCGTCATCGTCCCCGTCCGTCGTCATCGTCCGTCGTTGCCACCCCCCGGTCGTCATCATCGTCTGCGTCTTTGCCACCCTGCCCCCCCGGTCGTCATCGTCTGCGTCGTTGTCCCCCTGCCCCCCCTGTTCGTCATCGTCTTTGCCACCCTGCCCCCGGTCGTCATCGTCTGCGTCTTTGGCACCGTGCCCGCCCCCGGTCGTCATCGTCTGCGTCTTTGCCGCCCTCCCCGCGGTCGTCATCGTCTGCGTCTTTACAACCCTCCCCGCTTTCGTCATCGTCTGCGTCTTTTTGCCGCCCTTCTCTTTTCTATGTGTTCATTCATTCTGTTGATCTTTTTAGCCCTCCTGCCCATTCATTTCTTTTTCCTCTGCCCTCCTCCCCTCCTTTCCTTTTCCACTTACTCTTTTCCCCACTCTCACTTTCTTTTTAATTAATTAGCCGTCAGTTCTTTTTATTGTTTTTTTTTTTTTTTTTTTTTTTTTACTCCTATTTTCCATAATTTCTTTGTTTCCTTCCTGCATATTAGCTCCATTCGTTAATAAATATTTTTTAACAAGCCTTAACGAAGATACCTCTGACACTATCACTCAACTAGACCAGCTGGGTATATGTTTGTAGGACATCTGTATCACCTTTAAGATCAGCTTAAATACATTATCTTGTAATTTTCTGCAACAGCGAAGTGATATATGAGGGAACCCGAACCACTTCCCAAAATCTGGCCACTCATCATCATATTGGTAGGGCCAAAGACTTTTCATTACACCCTAGTACAGAGTAGTACATTTATCGATTGCTTTTGTTTTTATCTCTTCCTAAGAAACAAATAGCACAGTATCCAGAATAGAATTCCAAATTTCATCTTTGCCGGACGGCAATTTGCCAATAATCCTTCCTTTTCAGACTCTTACACAAGTTTTCTGTTGGTTAAAGTCGAGCCAGCAAACCGGTAACTACTTCAAACAAATGTATTTGAAATCCGTTTTATTCAGATATTTATTTTCTTCACTGAATATGATGAAGCATTATCCTGCATAAAATAATCTTTTTGTAAGATTTTGGCTTCTTCTTGAACTATGGCTCCACGTATGCTTTCAAAATGTCATTTATTCTCAATTGATATATTAACATTATCTAGAATCTCTATGGTTCTATTACTTCATCACCGGCAGAAATCAGTATGTCGGTATTGTTGATATCCAGTGGCTGGTGGTTTTTGTAGCCATACAGCGTTTGCGTCGTCCAGTTTGCACATCGAGAGTAGAATGTTTTTTGTCGATGTAAGGAAGAGTTGAAAAGTCGGTCTTCATGTATTATTTCACTCATTTGATTTTCTTTAGGGATGTCTTTTAAAAGCATTCTATTGAACATTCTTGCGTGTTTTGCCAGGAGATTTAGGGCATGCCATCTTTTGCTTCTCTGCAATTGAACGCTGCCACAAGACTTAAAACTTTAATAGTTTGACGAAATGTATATAATTCAAGAAACAGAGCTGTGACATAAATTCCTCTACTTGCCGTTATTACGCATCATCGCACTTCAATATAGGCTTCTACCTGCCGACCATTTTTACAAATGTCAGTGTTGTCTTACATTTTAAGAGTTTGAAGTTCGTAAATAATTGTCTTTTTAACACCGAAAACTCAAATGGATAGCACATGTAAACCAAAGAAAAAAAATGACATAATCATAACCTTGACTTTCTACACTACTCCAAATAAAAGCTTAGTTAGGAAACCCTTAACAAAACTGAAAAGAGAGATAATACCTACAAGAACTATATTTCCTTGAAAAATTATTTGAAGAAAAAGATTTAATATATTTCAAGCGAACATAGCATGGCTGCTCGGTTAATGAATTTTCTTTATACGAGAACAGATAACTTTTTTGCTCGTAAAACCCGTATGACGGTCCATTTAAAACGTTTGAATTCAAAATTGCAATCAATTCTACAGAGCATATAAATAAAACACCTGTTACCATATGATCACTGAAGTTAAGCAACGTCGAGACTAGCCAGTATCTAGATGGGTGACCACTTGGAAAGGCCAAGTGGTGTAAGCTTGGATGTGAGTGAGGGTGGTGTTATGGATAACTGACCAGAATTTTTAATCAGATTTCCAATTCCCGCGGATGTCTTTATATTCACTTCCCCACAAATATCCTTGGGAAAGGTATGAATCCACCTCTACTCCCCCAGCTATGTGTTAATTACTAAGATTTGTATCGGTAAAACATTATCTGAAAAGAAGAACTTCCATATTTTATGGTTTTAAATAACCTACAATTGCCTTGATAAGCCGTAGAAAATGCATCGAACTATCAATCAATGAGCACTTTGATTAAATGCATTACAAAATAATGAGTATAGACTGAATGAACAAATATTAATTAAAAAAACAGTAAGCTATAAATCGAAGACTCTATCAGAAATGTTTGGTAACACGGAAAAGGCTGGAGGGTGTAATGGCCGGAAACATAGTGTAATTTTGAGATGATATGGGGATAACGAATTGACGAATCATCTTCAAATTCCTATCTCATCTGTTGTGTTCTCTTGGCTCTGAGGCCAGCAGGTCTCGACCATTGAAAATACAACTCTTAATTCAAAATCGTGGAAAACGTTTTCAAAGTCATAGAAATTAACAAATAAAGAAAATGAACTTCTGTAGAGTCATGATCGTCTACGTATATAATGAGGCATCATATTTTTAAAAATATCCTAATCAAACGTTCTTAATGTTTTATATTTTTTAATGATTTCTATATTTATTTTTTGGGTTGATTTGTGTGTGTGTGTGTGTGTTAATATGGCAGTAAAAGTTCAAACGATAATCAATCAACACGTTAAGTCATATGATGACTGATGGTTTCTTAATTAAATAAGGATGGAAAACTGACAACTGAAAAATATTGACATTTTGATACGGGTTCTCATTTTTTTTTTTTTTTTTTATTGCGGGCTACCGCTGGGCAACGAACGGTGGGAAAAGGTTTCAGGAGGAATTCTTAATTGAAATCCTCTGAAGAGATGAATTACAGGCAGATGATTTAATGATGCTGGAGAGTTGTTGCGACGAACCAATTCTCATCATTTTAGTACATGCATTACAATGAGGACGATCACACCTTAAAGTTGAGGGACGTCAACATAAACAAATATATCAGTTTTAATTCACTTTCAGTAACAGATAAAGATAAGTGTCAATGAAAACAAAGTAACCTACCACCTCAGATTTTAGCCATTTGATCAAATTTTAGGATGTGTTTTGAGCTGAGAATTTTTCTCTACTGCATTGTACATGGTACTGGGAATGGTAAAATTAGTCCTTTTCATGTATTAAACATTCGGCGTCCATTGAGCGAGTATTTAATTTTAATATCGTCTGTTCAGAAAATTACACTTCTAATATATGTCAATACCCTTGGGAAAGGTATGAATCCTCTTCTTCACCTTAGCTGTGGGTAAACTGCAGGACAGACCGGGTTCTATAGCCTTGGATGGCAATTGGTCTACCGGAGAAAGAAATGACAACCTACTACAGGAAAAAATCTGCCTCGTCATTCATGTATCGAAAGGAACATAACTGACTGGATATCGGTTAAGTATTACAGCTCTAAAAACTGATTGGAGTTTCCTTATAAACTTTTTGCTTGTGGTAGTGTGGTAAGTTAAGACCTTAATTATATCATAAGTTCCTCTAGTTATATTTTGTTGTCAATCCTGTTAGAAGCCTTCAAGTGTTACTTGTTTTATTTGATAACGCGATTCGTCTGTGTCTTTGAAACTCTTGTCTTTAGGGTTTGATGAAGGATCATCGTCGTCTTTTTTTACAGGATAAATTCGTTTGAACTCTTTTTAAAACCATTGATCTGAGAAAAAAGATGATCAATATAGATGACAGTTTATACAATTCTGAAAGATATGGACGTCATGCATGACATTTCATAAGAAATTTCTAGTCTGACGAGGCTATTTCAGAACATGACTTCGTCAGGTCAATAATTTGCTTTTGAATCATCTTATTGTGCTGGTCAAAAGTACCCATACAATAACTTGTACTTTGTTCAACTTCCTTATTTCCTATAGCAAATTTGTTATAAATGATCCAAATGTAGGTGTCACCAATAATCATCTAATTCCATATGCTTTAGAAATACTTATTTGTGTCTGGACACTTGTTATAGAACCTTCATCTTTTGTTCAAGGTCATTCTATCTTCATAGCTATGCCTAAGAAAGCAGGCGCAAACGAATGCGAACTTCACCAAACAATAAGCCTGATGAGCCACATGACAAAACTCATCATCTGTTTTCTGTTGAATAGATCAGGCGGCAGAATCAGGACAAGATCAGTGCGGGTTCGTTAAAGACACCGGAACAAGGAACGCGATATTCATGCTCAGAATTTTATCGGAAAGAGCAGTAGAAATGCAGATAGACGTGTACCTATGTTTCATAGACTACGGAAAGGCCTTAGACAAAGTACGCCACAAGGATGTGCTGGCACTCTTCAGCAACCTTGATATATTTGGAAGAGATATCAGAAAAATCAAGAACGTATACTGGCAGCAAACAGCATGCATGCGCTCAGGGAACGAATTCAGTGAATATACAAAAATGGAAAGGGGTATAACCTATACAGCGAGGCAAATCTGAGAGAATTGAAGAACCTACAGGTATTTAGCATTGGCGGCAACAACCTTAACCACATGAGATATGCAGAGGACGCAGTACTGATAGCAGACACGGAAAAGAAATTACAAAATCTCCTATAGAAGGTAGCGACGGAGATTGGGAAAGTATTAAGCATAAACTAAAAGAAGACAGAACGCACTGTCATCAGTAAGAAGAGCCCGAAATGTGATTTGCTGGTCGGGAACACTAGAATCAAGCAGACGCAGAAGTTTAAATATCTGGGAAGCTTCTTGAACGGTAGATGCGACGCTGAGATCTGTAGACGTATTGGACTGGCCAATGACACATTTAAAAAGCTGAGTACAGTATTGCGAGACAGTAGGATTTCTTTAGTAACAAAGAAAAGCATACTGAGCTGTTACGTAATATCTGTCCTTCTTTACAGCACCGAATGTTGGCCGATTTCCTCAAAGATGAAGACGTGACTCGAAGCGACTGAGATGTGGTTCTACAGAAGGATACAAAAGACATCATGGACTGAGCGTGTGGATAACGATGAGGTCTTAGCGAGGTTGCAAACAAGGAAAAGGCTTATATTTAACGTCAGAAAGAGTCAGTCGAAGTTTTTGGGACACATAGTGAGGAAGGAGGGCCTGGAGAATCTGATACACGAATAGAGGGAAAGAGAGACAAGGGAAAATAGCGCGTGTCATAGCTGACGGGCTTGAGCAGATGGATGACAGAACGTGTTCTAGGGAAGGAAGCAGAGTAAAGGAACTTGCTGAGAGCAGAGGGAAGGAACTTGCTGAGAGCTGCAATTGATAGAGGAAGTGGAGAGACGTGATCGCCTACGTCTTGAAAGGACATGGTACACAAAAAGAAAAAGATGTACACGTATGCTATCATCATTGTCGGTACACTGACCTCTGGATAGAAAATAAGGGCGCTGTTTTCTACCAGTATGTGTGTTTGATGTGTAGTATGGCGTAATTGAGTATTCCAGACGCATTTTACTTTTAAACGCGCATTTTTTTGTTTTGTTGTTGTTTAACTCTCACAGAATTTACTGTATCTACACTGTTCTCTTAGGATTTAAGAGTTTTCTCCCTTTCTGATGATAGGGATAAACTTTGTAATTTATTTACTTAGAACTTTTTAACAAATTCCAGCAATGAATGTCTGGACTGTACATTGAAAATGAAAATAATGGATTGATATTGGTCGGGAAATATGGTTGAACTTTATTACCAATTCTGTTTTTTAGCATTATGTAGTCTCGTTCTAAACGATAAGCAGACAAATGGTTTAACCATTGCAGACAGAAAAGATGAAGTGAATAGATAAATGAATTCTTCCTGGAGGAAACACATGCCCAACCAACATATGGGGAGCAGAAACAATACATACCAAATAACTATTTATTTTCATCTGCACATACATTGGCATTTATCTAATTGTGAAATGTTTCAGAGCACTTCAGACACAAGTTGAGATATATGTATATAACTTGTATGCATACATATCTGTAGCTCCAGATAAGTTAGTGTATATATTTGAAATCTTTACAGGGATTTGTAATAGGTTAAATATTTGCTGGGGTATCCATGTAATTTGAAGCTGCGCAGTGATGAGTGTTCAAGTTTAATTAAAATTATGATATCGATTGATTTTTAAAGACATTCTGATTCTCGAGTCGTCTTTCAAACAAAAAATATTCTGAATTATGTAAACTTATTCAAGTTTGTATTTTTTCTCCCTTATCTCTCCCCTCTCTCCCCTTTATCTCTCCCCCCTCCCCCCTTATCTCTCTCTCCCCCCCTTATCTCTCCCCCTCTCCCCCTTATCTCCCCTCTCTCCCCTTATCTCCCCCTCTCTCCCCTTATCTCCCCCTCTCCCTTATCTCCCTCTCTCCCCCCTCTCCCCCTCTCTCCCCCCTCCCCCATCTCCCCTCTCCTCCCTCCCCCTCTCTATCTCTCTCCCCCTATGTATGTATAAATATGCTAGATTTAAATGCACAAAAGTGTTTAATTTCTATGTTTACTGACCAATAACATTTAAAGTAAGGTTTACGGACACCATTTCTGTACGATCACTGAAGTTAAGCAACGTTGAGCCTGGTCAACACCGAGATGGGCGACCACTTGAGAATACCAGGCGCTGTAAGCTTGGATGTTCGTGTAGTAATGGTTAATGGCACGGAATTGTTAATCGGAGAAAAGAGTTCTAATCACAGCTTGGTTCGTTATATTTAATATTTTTATTTACTTACGTGAAAATACCCTTGTAAAATTTATTAGTGTTAATTATTGTGTGTCAATGATGTGGATTTTGATTTAGAATTTACCGGCCGCGCTCCTAACAAGGTATTCACTAAAATGGTTAAATATCTTTGTTTAATTTTTACTTTTTTTGTTCTGTTTTGTT